AAACTGGCAAAATCATCGACCTCGTCATCGGCCGTTGAGTACCGGTTCTAATTGTCCACGAGTTTGAATGAATTGTTTGAAAAAGCAACAGCCCAGCTTTCCAATCGCCCAAACCCAATAAACAGCGTTGAACAAATCTTAGTGCCCAATTTAGAATGTAGGTTACCTAGCAATCCATAACGAACAAACAATGGATTCCTTCGCTCGCCGGCATTGTTACAAAAACAATAACAAATGAACGCGACGGCAAAAGTGGTGTTGTGCCTTGATTAATTATTATGAAACTATTTTTAGTTTAGATTTTAGATCTAGAAGCACTAGAAAGCATAGCTTGACCCAGACAGGGCTCGAAAGGCACGGCCGTTGATCGTGGTCTTTCTAAAGATGGAATCAAAGTCAAAAATCATTTACGGTACACGTATCACCGTATCGAAATTTACATTTACTACTCAAAACTCAAGGGCGTAGAACGAAGAAGGAGTACTAGAAACAAGGGAAGGACATACTGTCTATAGTTTACGCGAGTAGTGTACACATTTAAATAAAACACTTTAACGGTTTAAAACGCGAATATTAGTTAAACTTCATTTCAAAATGTAATGTAAAAATAAGTTTAACTAATATATCGCGTTTTAAACCGTTAAAGTGTTTTATTTAAAAGGGAAGGACAGACAAGCATGGCATTTACTTGGTGGATGGTGAAATACCCCAGTCATATAACATCTGAACAAGATATACTGTCCATCTACTTTGACTTTGGAGTATCGGAAATGGACAGACTTAAACCGAAACGTGATTATATTGGACGGGTTTTTTATCTGTGGACGGCTGTTTGTGACCCGGGCGGAATTGCGATGTTTCTAGCACCTAATTTATATCCAGATTACCACGAAAAAAATTATACATATACGGATTAGAAAAACTTGGACCAGTGGTGTTCGAACTCAGACCCATTGTCTATAAGCCTTTTATAGCTACCATTTTGCAAACGGACCCGGCAAACGCTGTTTTGCCATATAAATTATTTCAATAATTAATTAAATGACGTTTGATCAGTTTTCAACCGGAGAGGAAAAATGATTAAACTACTAAAATGGCTATTAAAAATAAGGGTTGATCGTAGAAGGGCGAAAATTGAGCATTGTATGTATTTTTGTATGTTATGTTATAAAAAAATTTAAGAGTGAACCATCCTTATCACTTAGAGGGATGAAAAAATAGATGTTGTCCTATTCTCAGACCTATTGAATACACATATGAAATTTGGTGAAAATCGGTCGAGCCGTTTCGGAAGAGTTCAAGTTCGAACACCGTGACACGAGAATTTTATATATTAGATTATAATATGGCTTCTGTATTCAACTATTAGTTTGTCCTTCTCTGTCAAAAGATGCGAGGGAAAGTATTAAAAATTAAATGACCAATTTTATCAACCACTGCAGCACTTTGTATTAAGGCTTTCTGGCCTCCTTTCGGCTGCAATTACATACACCAAACTAACGGCGTTGTAATATAATAATGCTCCATGAAGACGATAGTCATAATGTTCCCACGTTCGATATCGTTTTTATGTTTACAAAGCTGTTGCTGTTCGTCTTTCACGGTTTAAGGTGTAAAGTAGATAATGTTTTACCCGAATATATTGTTTTACTAAAGCAACATGCAGTACATAAAACGAGGGAAAGATGGTAGAAATATTTCTGTATCTGTGTATGTATGGCTACTTATCGTTGTTATAAATAGGAGAATAGGGCATCATTTTTGCAAACCTCCTCATCCTTATCAATTTTAGCTGTTATCCACTACGTTAATCTTAAAAGATATATAGATATATATTTTGCGAACATTTTTTAGATTATTTAAAGATGTCAGCGCAACGGAAGCACTCAAAGATGAGTTGTCCCCTCTTACCACTTTCCCACAATTTTTCTGAGCGTAATGTTTAATAGCCCTTCCCTGCCTCGATGAATGGACTAACCAACACAAACATATTTTTTAATTTACAATAGTTCCTGACATTAGCGCGTTCAAACGAAACTTTTCAGCTTTATAAAACACGTATAGGTATTGCTAGTGGCAAAATTAATAAAGTTATTCCTGCATATAAAATGGGTGTCATAGTGAATGGCGCCATGGCTTTTTTACGTTATCACATTGCGACAGCGACACAACATTTCCGTCAATCTTCCTGTTGATAAGGCTGCTTGATGCGGGTGCAGCGGTGTTGAAGCCGCACGTTATCACGCCTCAAACTGGCCTCATGCTGCCAGTCTCCCATGCCTATCCAGGGAAATATTTATGATAGCGCGAGTCTGACGTAATGGACTATTTGACAATTTAATACAGTATTTAGTATGGCATATCATTGCTGGTTCGACCGGTCTTGAAGGCCTTACGAAATTTAGTACTAAGTATACGTTTAGAAATAAGAAAACAGTCGCACATGTTAAAAATAATAATTGATTTAAATAAAAAAGCCGCAAATAAAAATTAACTTGTTCAAAAATTTGTCACGTTACACAAAACGCTCCTGATTGGTCAGTTTTATGATGACGTCATTTGCTTATAAACAGTGCTATAAAGTACTGTGCTTCTCAGTATTAAAACAATTCTATTCTCTGCATTAATAGATAAATAATTTCATAACTCAATTTAATTCGTCAATCACTGTTAAAATGTAAATGTTCGGTTTAAATGCATTCAGACTTTAGCTCATATGATCGACATACACCAATAGCCGATATAAGGTCGTGACGTCACTATCCGTAAGCTTTATTCAAAATGCAGTTTGGCCGCAATTTTAATGTAGGATTATAAATTTGATATATTTCAGACTTAACATATTCTATTATACTTCTTTAAGGTTTCTTTACAACTACCGAATAATTTAAAGTACTTTTTAAAACTCAGTCAAATAGCCCGTTGTTACTTAACTTCCTTATACTCGTTCGATAAATCGCTGAGTCACAAAAACTCGAATCAGTTTTTATCTTTCAGTGTCCGATTTCCTATAACTACTGCCCTTTTATTGAATCGATCGATTTCTGCGAACGAGTACCTACTTGTCGTAGATCTTAGGTAGTGTTCACGCTGAGAAGCGGTCGCGTTTAATTATCCTAGTACAACAAACATTGCATTGATGTTATGCCAAAGGTCTTGTAAGGACTGTGTATGTTACTCTGTACTGTACGGCTATTCGACGGTTCGTGGGTTGGATCCCAAGGGGTACATGTTTTCTGTAACGTGTAAGAATTTCGAAATTCCGTCCGAGTCACGAACCACCACCATAGATGAAAAATCCGTCAATTTTAAATGCGTTTCGGTTTAAATTTGTGGATACTCTCGGGAGTAGAATGAACAATATTTATTTATTTAATATAGTGGTTAAAACTTCACGTTTTAATCAGTTTTATACACTCGGCGTTCAACTAGGTCTCAGTACCTCGCCACTCGTCCTCGGAACCTATCCGTCAATAGAATCTAGATTACCTTTCTATCACTGACCCCTTGCTAGACGATTTCTCCTCTCCCTTGTTACGGTCATGAGACCGCGTATATCGTATACTTATTACTTAAATGCTTAGCACAGAATGCGTATACAAGCTAAAGCAACACGCTGTATAAGGAATTCAGTAGTCTCGCTTGCCTTAAATATTTAGAACTTGATAGTTCACTACTTATAAGTATGAATTGCGTTTACGCTTTAAACCCGCCTCCCAGCAGTGGAAATCGTTGATACGTAGGATCGAATGAACTGTTCAGAGTGCACGCGTGATATTACAAATTCGCATATGTCATTCGCCCTCAATTGCTACAGATTTACTCGTTTTAATTGTATCAATCAAGCTCTATGCTTGCCGTCACTAGATACGTATCACAACAGATAATATTTTGTTGTCGTGTAATTGGGGATCGACAGAAAATATATATTGTAATCTTTTTAGAGACTTTACTGAAATATAATCAAATCTTGCAAGTTAATTAAGATAGACATATATTGTCACGGACATTTTAAAAATAGAAATCATTATTTCAAACATATTCTTTGGGTATTTTAAAACGCTTTCGAGGCGCACGGAACGGAAATCCACAACTATGTATAATTTTTCCAGTTTTTCCTCATATCACACTGATTCTTCGCTCCTATTGGTCTCACCCTGATGCTTTATAGCCTGAAGGCCTCCTCGATAAATTCTCTAATCAACACTAAAATAATTTTTCAATTCGAACCATTAGTTCGTAAGATTAGCGCGTTCAAATTAACAAAATCGTTAGCTTTATAATATTAAGTATATATTATTATTTAGCGACACACAATTCAATTGACTTCCGCAGTACGCCGTTTCAAAACTGCTGTTGTAAGAGAACGTGATTTTATTCGGTTTTCTTATGAGTAAGTAGGTAACATTAAAAAAAAACGTAGTTTTTTTAAGCTGCACTCTTATATTGTGTATACAACTGTATTATGTATGGATACGTAAAACATCGTAGTCCCGTAATCCGTGATTTTAGTTTCTTTTAGTGGAAACAACAATTAACTGAGAGGTATGCCCACGCGCAATATCCTACGATTGTCTATTGACTCGATGTTTTGCCTATTATTCAACACAGCACAATTGTTTCGTAACAAGCAACGACACAGCCATATTAGCTATATTTTTAAAAGAATTGCGCGTACGCAAGCCGTTACTATCAGACATAACTAATTCTAAGAACTGCATCCTTTACCGTACTTTGTTGTACCGTTTTTGAATTAGCGAACCCGCTTTTTATCATTATCGGATGTCAACCGATAAGCCGTGAAGTCTATTCACGTTACACTTTGAAATGATAAACTGTGTCATACAACTCGTATATTAAAACGAAGGTTGCTTGTCAGTTTAGTGCAGCCATTGATCGGAGAAGGACGTCGCTCGATCGCGGCACGTTCGTCATACTATTGGCCCGTTAAAACAGTGATCTTTAATTGTAACTATAGTGATAATGAAGATATAATAAACATGCGTCGTGTCAAAATGAATGTTAACCCCGACCTGGGTGACTTAGAAGAAATGCTAGCTCACGTCCAGACGCAGATCGAACAAGAAATCGACATGGAGAAGGAGAACAAAATGCCCTCGCTAACAAGTGTCCAGGAATCGCCAAAAATGAAGAGGAACGGTTCCTTCAATCAAACAGAAGCTCTGGAGTACAGACGTCCACCTAGACCCAACGGTCACCGATACAACGATTCTGGACCCCAATCCCTCGAATACAGAAATGGTGATTATCAAGCGAATGGATTCAAAGGATCTCAGTCCAGCTTGAAATCTGCAGACGAGGGTTCGCAGGTGTCCTTTCAGTCGTTCAGATCGGAGCCAGTGCAGAGGCACTCAGTTTTGAGTCTACCTGATAAAAGGGACTCCGCTTCCTTGAATGGAAGGTCGAAGACGGCGACGTTGCCTCGTGGATATGGTTCCAGCAAGGAGAAAAATTGGGAGGAGTATTGGTCACAGTAAGTATTTCTTGGATTTACTGTCTTTTATATGAAAAGTTGTAACTGCTATATACCCCTTGTGCTATCGTCAACGACTAATAAAAGTTGTGTTATAGTACATTCTAACCTTGATAAACTCTTCTTGAGCTATTAAACGATTGCTTGCTTAAATTATCTTATTCAGTAGCTCTCTATCAGATCTTTTTAGATTCACGACTAAATAGCTTTTAATATTCCAACATAATGTCTCAGTATTGTTCCACATTTTATCAATATGACAAAATTAGCTGGAGCTCTAGTTCTGTCTTCGGTTCAACGGTATGATGTCCCGCAGCTGTGCACAGGTGTAGTTGCTTAACAGATTGTAAAGAAGAGCTGAGATCTCTTGGAGGACGAGGGTTACTACAGCCATTCAGTTTGTAATGATGACAGAAGCATGGGGGTGATAATGTCTCCCTTCTGAACTCCAGTACTAGATACAAGTGAGATTAGTTAGTATGATTTTGTACCCTGAATGGTGTAACTTGCAACGGACAGCACAAACCATCAGCCCGACGAGGCAATCATGTCTATTATTGTCTGTTTGTGATACAGACAAGTCGTTTCAATCAATTTTAATTATAGTAGTCGTTCCAATAATAATCAATATGATAATGACACTGAGTTCAAGTTTAGCCATATAAAGTGTTGCACTTATATTGAGCTTGTATAAAACGTCGCAAATGTTTGCCATAATGAAAAATGGTGTGTGCCCCCCCCCCCCCAAACTCAACTCACGTGACTCTTATCGAACTGACATTGCATAACTAGTTTTTGTACGAGAGATACATCTCCTATCAACGCTGATCGATCATCTTCAAATTTAAGCCTATGTAATTTACAATCATACAAGATATTGTCTATAGTTTACGCGAGTAGTACACATTTAAATAAAACACTTTAACGGTTTAAAACGTGATATATTAGTTAAACTTATTTGAAAATGACTTTTAACTTCCGCCCGACGTTTCGGATGCTTTTCAGCAGCCGTGGCCACGGGGAGACCACGGCTCAAATAAGTTTAACTAATATATCGCGTTTTAAACCGTTAAAGTGTTTTATTTAAATCATACAAGATATTAATTACATAGATAACATTAAAAAAACTCGTTTATTATACTTTAAACGTATCTTATTAAACACATTTTGAAATACGACCCGACGTTTTGGACGCGTCGAGATAAACTACTAAATATTAATTTAATAGATAATGTTACAATTTTTTACAGTTTGAAACAAACCTTTTATAAAACTGATATTTAAGTATGACCCGACGTTTTGTACGCCTTTCAGTGGTTATGGGGGACACCCCACGTTTATAACGGATTCATATATAATGATTTCTAATCGCAGTTCTTGTGTATTATATACAAACAATTTATTAATTATATTGATAACAAGGGCGTGACTCATCCTCAACCTACGACCAATACAGTTCTAGTGCTCCACCATTATTAGTCTTAAATAATTTCGTGTCTAAAATTTTTCAGTGCGATATAATTTTTATATAAGCCGTCATGAAAAATTAAAATGATTTCTTTTCAACTGTTATATTGTAGCTGTTATCAGTCCGGTTTTGTAACAACACGGCCTATTTAAATAACGGTATCTGCCTCGTACAATGGCAGATACAAAAACAATCCCTTTTGTTTTGTAATTTGCTAAACTACAATCGGATTCCGAGTAGGCAGCGTGAAAGTGAAGTTTATCTCAGGTACGTAGCTGTTAGAGCGATCTTCCTAGAAGCGATGTGCTGTCGTTTTTATCTACTGTTAGAAATAACATATTTATGCATGAAAAATATAGCTTCGAGGGCTCGAACTGAACTGATAATCTCTGTGAGATGTATTATAAATTGGATTGTTATAGGCACATTTTATTATTTATTTTTATACTTACATCCTTGCATTACAGATAAAATCAAATGTAATTAATAATACGATTATAATATATAAGACAACTAGCTGCGTCAGTGACTTCGTCCGCATTGAATTTTTTCAGCGTAAGAACTTCTCTCAATACAATTACTATATAAGATAGAATTAATCATAATGGTAGCTCAATTGTAGATCGTGGTATTCTGTCGTCACATATTCGCGTTGGCAGTGATATATATATAAAAACTAGTGTGCCCGCGTCTTGGGGTAGAATTTTTAATTATTAAGGCCGTTTATTAATTTATGTAAGGGCACATTTAAGGCAGCCAATCTATGTTGTAAGTGCTACTTTGCCGCAACACTCTCACCTCACATCACTCCTACTCTAACTCCCACTCTCATTCCTACACTCACTCCCACTCCTATTCCCAAAAAGCCAAAGAAGAAAATTTCATTGGTTTAGCTTCAAAAACCACGAATTTCTATACAAACTTTCATCCCCTTTTTCTACCTATTAAACCTTTTTGGCAGTAATCAGGCTCTAAAATATCTGTGTACCAAATTTCATTTAAATCAGTTCAGTAGATTCGGAGTTAAAGCCGGACATACAGACAGACAGAGTTACTTTCGCATTTATAATATTAGTATAGATTAAATCGTTTAATCGCTAGCAATGAGCCTTCGCGTCATACGTCGCAGTAATCTTGTGTTTCCTACATTGCAATGTAAAGACGCGTGAAGGTAAAGGATTCAGCGAGGATTTTTCAGTTTTAGGTCAACGGTGCTCGTCGCGATAGGAATAAATAAAATGTCGACTCGCCGAGTGCGCGGGAGGGTGTACTTGTGTGTTATTGAGCTTTATTTTACGCGTTTCGCCGCTTTGTTTAGTTGTTCGGCCTTATTATCTGCGGAGAGACGAAATATTAAATGATTAATTAGTACTTTTGAAAATTTTAATATTTTTCACACTTTTCAATACACATTTAGATTAAAAACCATTGCGCGAGAGCTGCATGTGTCCATTGATTAAATTCGTGACGTTTAGGACACGGTAGCTCAATTAGTTAGAACAACAGCCCGGTACGCTGTGGATGTCGGTACAAATCCCGCCCGTGTTGTAATTTTTCTAACGACTGCGTCTAAAATACTATATATTTTTCTGAAATAGACAAACTCACAGTTGGTCTAGCGGTAGTGGCGAGATTGAAAATTATTGTCCCTAGGAGTTCAATTTTAGGCTTGTGCCCTAGCAGGTATTTCATTTTAAATTATGTTTCAATGAAGTATAGTTGGAATCTTAAGGGTAGCTTAAAGCTATATAAAAGTAGACAAGAGTCCCAACTGTGGGCAACAATACGATGGCCACCACTTTCAGTTTGGCTGTTCTATTTTTTACCCTGCACTGGCTAGCTCAGGCATTTACAACGTGCGCTATTGTTTATATATTTGAACATCTGGTACACATCTTGAATGCAGATTTGTTAACAATTGGTCGCAAGCGCATTTATGGTAAAATAAAGTTATGTTCAAAATTTCAATCGCTTATATCGAATTATTTGAAGTTCCGAACAAACAAAATATTCTTTGGCAACCTGAAGTAAGGGAAAAACAAAAATGCTATAAAAGGACTATAAGGTGGTGCTAGATGAAAAGAGGCAATTACAGCTGGAAAGATACAAATTTGGTAACTGAGACTTTAAAACGAGAGACGACCTTTTCTGATGTCTAATGGAGAGAGTTCCAAGATAATGCTTTAATAGTAAAGATAAGAAGGAAGTCTTATGCGCAGGAATAAATAATAAAAGAATTTCATACAACCTTTATTAAGCTTGACGTGAGATATACAATAATAATTAATAATAAGGGTAAAACTCAAACTATAATAAGCTTATACAATGTTAAAAATGTTTTATGGAGAACATGAAAAAAAATATATATTGATACCTATATTTTATTGCAATTAGTTAAGCTTTATTTTATTATTTTTAACGAACTTTATTTGACGAAATTTCGTCACCAACAAGTCACTACTATAGCCAATAAATATTATATGAAGCATGTTGTAACAGTGATTCTGATAGACATGGCCTTCTGAGGCAATACTGTCTACCGACTACCCACGTCCGCTATAGAACAGTCAAAACAACAGTTGGGATAACTTACATTGACCCGTTTTATATTCAATGATCAGTTTTTCTAAGTTTAAAAACTAAGATTTTCTCATTCAAATTGAGTCGCAGTCCTGTAGAAACATCTTTTTCAAGGAACTGAACTTGAAGTGATAAAGCAATTTCACTTCTATGCGTAGGAGCATAAGACACTATGTGGGTTGCGTTACATAACGCATTGGGCAAGGCTGTCGTAACACCGACCACTTATGGTGCCCTTTAGTTTGTAATTTGCACAACATGCCAAAATATATTGTGGTGACAGTTTTAATATAGCGGTGAAATCGACATGTTTTAATTAAGACTTTCGATCCGGTGGGTGTTATATTTTATGTACTTGTACAAACATGGTTACGTCATGCAAGTTAATTATGTAAAATCATAATTTAAAAATCGAAAATGAATCGAAAAAAATTTCGCTGGCGTGCCGGTTCAAGTCCTGCCCGCGTCGAAATTTTTTCAATTTTTTCGATTTTTAAATTATATAGTGCCTTCATGTCAATAACATGTAAAAAATAATAAAGTTTTCAAATATGTAAAATCATCTCTTAGCGTCTATAAAATTTACAAAACAATACAAACTTATAATTTTTCACATGTTACCTTGCACATGTGTGCACTATGTAAATTAAAAATCGATTATAATTTATATATTGCCGAGAGATGCATCATAAGTGAAAAATCGACGACGTTTAGGACTCGGTAGCTCAATTGGTTAGAGCAACAGCACTGAACGCTGTTCATGCCGGTTCGAGTCCTGCCCAAGGCCTTTTTTTCAATTTTAACGCTTTTAATTTAATAAATACAAACACAAAACTGTGGCTGAAGTCCCGATGATTATGCTTATTATCTGTTTAGTCTGTAATTAGTTGTAAAATCAAATTGGTTACATGAAATTTGCTTGTCCACAGTGAGCAGTCGATAAGCAGCGCGCGCGCATCGGTGATGGTGTACGATGACGCGCTCAAGCGTTGGATCCCGTCAGGATCTAGCTCTGGCCTCTCCAAAGTCCACATCTACCATCACACACAGCATAACACCTTCAGGGTCGTAGGAAGGAAGCTCAATGATCATGAGGTTAGTAATTTTAAATTAAAAATATTTTCCTCTTAGATAAACATTCTTTTAAAAATACTAGAACGGTTTAAAATACGAAATTAGTATTTACACTTGTTAATAGCCTTGGTTACGGGGAGACTGCTGTAAGGCATCCGATACTTCAGGTCGTAATTAAATTGATTTTTAAATAAGTTTAACTAATATATATCGCGTTTCAAACCGTTACAGTGTTTTATTTAAATGTGTACTGCAAACACTTATTGAACCTTCTTTTGTCTTTCGACAGGTCGTGATAAACTGCGGTATAGTCCGTGGACTTAAGTACAATCAGGCGACAGCTACGTTCCACCAGTGGAGAGACGCAAGACACGTCTACGGTTTGAACTTCTCCTGTAGAGAAGATGCGGACAGCTTCGCGAGGGCCATGATGCATACTCTGGAGGTAGGATCATGGAATATAAAAAAAAAACCTATAAAACCATCAAGCCAGACTACGTTTAAAATAAACTGATGTTTCTTGATTCAATCATTGTAAACAAACCAGACCCACTTCCCCAATCTCCTTTACCCATATGTGTGCGAGAATCAGACAGTGAGTAAGAGAAGAGAGAACTAGCTATTTTCGCCTTGGTAAAATTAATCTAAGGGATACGTATAGGTATTGTAATATTACAGGTGCTTGCAAACAAAGCCAGCAATAACACCGCTCCACCACCGCCGCAGCCCCTGAATCCGCCCGGCCCGTACAACGGTCACAACAACACACACTACGACGAAGATATGGGGTACAGGTAGGCTTTGGAGTGATAATTCGCTTAACGGGGTCGTAGGTGTAATAGTATGTATGGCTCATAATCAACAGCTCTCGGATTCGATTCCCATCGAGACCATCGTGTTTCTAATTAATTTAGGTTCCAGAAAAAATATCTGGAACATCTGTATATTATGTGCGACAATAACAGTGATATTAAATGGATGGTTGAACCATCAAAATTCAGTCCGATTTACGAACCCCTATTCACAGATTAAAATGCTGTGAAGTTAAATTGTGTTACGGGTTTAGTCTGTGGATTTCCGAATATCCAGAGCCAAAGAAGGTCGACATATATCTTGTAACATGGTTGTTTTGTTTTTTTTTTTTTTTGCACCTAGATCGGAATCTACGTTCGGATGATAAGTTAGACTTGAAGTTACTTGTGAATGCAACATGAAAGGGGAAGCTATACAAGAAACATTTGGAAGATGCTCCCTAACATAATTATTTTATTTCTTATAGCGGAAAATGTTTACCAACTAACACAATTAATGAGACCTTCCCGATAACCTGATCAATGGTCTAAGTAATAAATTATGAATATAATGTCTCTTTCAGAACAATGACACGCGAAGACGCCGCTATGCTCCAGCAGCCACAGTACCATGCGCCTCATCACCAACAACATCAACAAATTCCACCGCAACATCAACAGATGCCGCCGCAACATCAACAAATCCCACATCAACCGGTAAATATTATTATTTTCTTCACATTGCTCACTAAAGTATTTGCTGTCCTTATCATTTGTAGGGGATTGTGAGTGAGAGGCATCTCTAAATTATTTTTCTTACTAACTTTCTAAATTCATTCTCACAATGTTTTTTTTTCTAGCCGGTGCCGGTACAACATCAACAAATTCAGCACCAGCCCATGACGCCGCAACACCAAATCGCCCCACACCAACAGATTCCTGTTCAACACCAACAGATTCCGCCGCAACATCAACAGATTAATCAACATCAACCGATACCACCGCCGAGTCAATATCACGCCCCGCATCATCACCATACGGTATGATGATGACATTTCATTTTTTTTTAAATTAGGTATCAACTTAATAAAACGTCTCTAAATCTATTTAGATTGACAATTTTATAGATTATTAACTAATAGAGCTGCCGTGTGCTTTTTTTATTTATTTTCTGTACAATTACTCAAAATCTGTATAGAATTGTCAAAAATATGCCTATCTTCAGGCTTTCATAAAAAAAGAATGCTTTTAAAGCAAAAGATGAAGATGAAAAAATTAGAAGAAAATGACGGAAAATAAGTTTTCGTCTGTTATCTCCAATTATAGCTAACTAAGTATTGTCTGAATAAGATAAAGATATAATGCAATCAGTTCAGTGTTTATGAGTGTAGTACAGATGTAAATAAAACACGTTTATTTTTTATTTTTTTTTAATTTCCTCCCCCGCGTGACGACGGCAAAGCATTCAAAAGTTCAAAATAAGATTAAAATTAAGTCAAGTTAGAAGTGTTCCATTTGAATAAAGCACACTACATTATTATGCTGCCATCTCGCTGATTATTTCAAACATTATATACCCTGTTATAATTATACCTAACGATTTTTTTTTACTTTTCAGGTGGGACAGTCGAGTGGTCAAACTGCGCCCACGCCGCCCCCCCACGGTGTGCACACATTACCCCACGCTCCTCATGCGCCACCGCCGCCTACCACACTCGCACCACCGCACCAAAGGTGCCTAGGTACTATATATCTTTTCAATAACCAATTTAATATGTTTTATATAATAATATAAATTATGGATTTTGCAATACCGTAAAACTATTTAAAAAAAACCTGTGCATTATACTTCACAGTAATAAAACTATAAGAAACCAATTTCGATCTAATTAAAGAAGTGTTTTTTTTTTTTTTATGTTTGAAAATTGCACATACTTAGCAATTATCAATGATAGTGTCTCGTTCAATTTCAATAACTATAATTGAAAAAATTTTTCACTAAACTACTTTACGATTCTAATGAAATTTTCTGGTATCATGAACATGCAAGTCACCAAAGCCATAATAAACTGTTCCGAGGAAATAATATTGACTAATTATGTTTGTTTACGTTCTAGTGCCCCTATGCCCCCAAATATGACGCTGGCCCCAGCAAGTGTAGTGACAGGACCGCCCCCTGTTCCGCCCCACCAGAACCTACCGGCACCGCCAAATGTAAGTGCTGTAAACGGATTTATTAAAACGTGAATATTAAAAATAATTTCTTATTATTAATCAATTATTTATCATTATTGTTTTTAACTTCATTTAAACCAAAAAATATTTTATTTGTTACCCAATCGATGTCGATATTTATTTTTTCATAGAAATACAAAATGCATGCTTACGCAAGATTTTTTTATTATTTATTATAATGAATATGCAATATTTTCAGGGCCCCATTGCCCCACCGACGCCACCAGCTGCGCCGCAGCCGCCCCCTATGGTAAGTTAAGAATTTGCCTTAGTAACAGTCCGTAGTAATTTAACCATGACATTACAGAACCTCAACATAAATATAATAAATACTACTTAAATAAGGATATATATCTCTATAATTCTTTTGTATATCAATGAGGCAGAAATTTGATTTTTATTATACAGCAGCAAGCTCCACCTGCGCCCCCAGCACCGCCACAACCCGCTGCCCCGGCACCACCGCCACCTCCCCCGCCCCCCGGAGGAGCCGTCAGCTCCCCACCTCCGCCACCCCCTCAGCCGCCGGCTGCTGATCCCACCGGCCTCGCTGCTCAACTACAGCAGGCGAGACTTAAAAGACAGGCAAAGGTAATCAACATTAATGGTTAAAAAAACCGTTTAAGAAAAGAAAGAATAAGAAAATTCTCTTCTACTGGTTAAATATTTATCTACAACTTTTGGCGTTTGAGATGTTGATAACTTTTAAGAAGACTTAACAAGCATTGCAGCAGCCGTGGTCTCGGCTTCTATAAAACATCCGAAAGTCGGGCCGAATTAAAAATCATTTATCAAATAAGTTTAACTAATATATCGCGTTTTGAAGCGTTAAAGTGTTTTATTTAAATGTGTACTACTCGCGTAAAGTTGACAGTATTTGATCTTATCTTGGTGAATATTTTCTGGTCGTCTCAACCAATACTCTTCAAGTGTTTAGTTTGTTTTATTAGAAGTGTCAATATTATTACAATAGATCAAGACTCACTGACACACTAAATCTTACAGCAAGTCAATACTGAGGTGGCTTCCCCTCCTGGGGGCAACAGCGGCGGTTCTGCCGGCAGCGGCACTGACCACTCCTCCTCATCATCAGGTCGCGCCAGTCTGCATTGCATGATGCATGAAATGCAACGGACGCTGGCCAGGCGGCGTGCGCATTTGGACAAAGCAGAGGTTGGCATCTCAAAAATACTAGATTAACAAACTCACTGACAAACAAAGCGAAAGCACGGTTATTGTAATATATATTGTACTTTTTCTAATATGACATTTTTGGTAAATAAACACACAATTCATTTTGAATTATAAAAAAAAATTTTAATGAATTTACGTCTATGGACAAATTAATATTTATTTTGGTTTGGCATTTACATATTGATGAGATGTAAGCAAAGTCAACGACAATAGAAGGAAGAGTGGGGTTCATGAACGATGACATAAAAATTTTTATATTTTGAATCTTTCAGGTTGTTTGGTCTCATCTATGGTATCATCGATGATTCTTTATCCCTGTAATTTACACTATATAAAAGGTCATCACAACAAGTCTCTGGTTAGAATTAGATCACATTTGTTAGAGAAGTACACTGTACGTAATTAGTGCAACTTTTTCTTATAGGAAATAATCATACAACACATTTTGGGAAATTCTAACATTAACATTTCCACATCCATGTCTGTGTACGGTGGGTAGTAGTAACGCGGACGGAATTTCGATATTCCCACCACCCATTTAATATCCCGTTTTCCACACGAAGTCTAAAATATTTCAGAAAATTTTAAATTATGAACCCTACGGGGATCGAATCCACGACCTGTTGACTATTAGCCACGCCTTGCTACCATTACACTAACGAGCCCGTCCATAAAACCTTTTAAAGTTTATATATCTGAACGTTTTTCACTTAGTGAATTTAATGTTGCCTTCTCTTTTTAACATATCAACAAACACGCAATTTCAGGAGTCATCCGCTGATAATTCAGTAAATTCGACACCGATGAAGAGTTGGGAGCGATCGGCGACGTTGCCGCACCGTCTGCCAGCCGCATGTAATGGCAACACTCGTGAGTTTGCGTAACGCTTCATTATGTTGCCATCTTTATGAGTTTAAATGTTTTTCTGTTCATGGATATGTACGATCTACATATTATATTACTGATTGAGATATTTAACGAATATTGCTAAACAACAGAGAACGTCTGCAGGCCCAGAGCCAATTTTGAATTCAAGGATATTTTTTTTTATCATAATTTTTTCCCAAGTGAAAAATGAAGGTTCGAAAGCACTAAAAAACCCCACAAATTAAGGGTTCTTTGGTGCTTTCGAACCTTCATTTTTAACGGTTTACAACCGAGCCCCCCGTGACCACGGTTACTGCAAAGCAACCGAAACGTCGGGCCGTAGTTAAAATCAAAATATCTTCACTGATATATTTCTTGTTTTATTTAAATCTTGAACACTTTTACAATGCACGCCTTCAGCAGCAAGCAATCGTTGTGTAAGATGTAACTTGTGTGTTTCTTAAATATTTTGACAAATATTTAATTGTTTTAATTTATACGTTTCAGCGAGTGCCGAGTCTCCCGCGCAGCAACAGGCGCAGTCGCCGCGATCAGTCCGCAAACGATTTGGTTCGGCTAGCGAAGAAACTATCCTCAAGGTATATATTCGAAGCTGTATTACATAAGAACGTTGCATACGATAATCATTTAAGTTAAATTGAACCTCAATACGGAAGTATTAAGATTGAAATTATATTGTGTGAAAGTTGTTTGAAGAAGGTCGATGGTGGCATGTGAGCGCGGTAGCTTATATGATGGTAGCTCATCGCTCAACTTAGTTGAAGTTGAACGGCTTGGTTAGAGCTCGGACTGCTGTGGATGGACCGGTTCAAGACCCGCCCATGTCAAACATTTTATTGAATCTAAATAGCTTTATATAATGTCACCACGAGCAATGCAAAAGTTAGTCAATAAATTACACCAACTGGATAATTGAAACTCTGAGGTTGTACTAAGATCTTGGAATTGCTTTTTCAGCAAGTGAACGGAGGCACGGAGGGAGGGTGCGTCTCAGCTGCCGAATGGGAGGGTTTCAAACAGGAGCTGATGCGCGAAGTAAAGACGCAGCTGACGCAAATGAAACGGGAGATTCTTGACGGTATGCTTAGAAGTACTCTTTCATTGTTTACTGTGCATTTGAAGTTTATACAGTTCCAAGTATTTAAAAGTAGATGTTGTTTTTTTATCAATAACTTCCTCACGCTAGTAAGTATTGAAAATTTTATTCAAACCTTTGTTATTGTTCAGATCTTACTTCATTATGTCGCTATATGTCTCTTAAGTTTAACAATAATACGAAGTGCACAAAAAAATCTCAAAACAGTCGCCATTTTGTAACTGACGCATCACCCGGATTCGCTGCGCCCTCTACAAACCCTTAGAGACAACGTATATATTTAGTAATGTTTTTGTCTTTCCAGCGATGAAAGCGGAATTCGCTCGCAGATAAAAATGGCGCGCGGCGTCACACGAATCAACTAGTCTACCGAACTGCACCGAATTTTATGTTCCACAATCATCGGTCTACATGGACATACATTTTTCGAACTGCCTTTTTGTTAAGGATTTACATCGACAAATATCGTAAGAATTTCTTTTAACGACTGTGAGAACGTTATCTACGAAATGTATCGTAACTTGTGTACTATGTGTTTTATAGAAAAAGGTGTACGTTCGAGTAATGTGATCGACATAAAACGTGAATGTAAAATGTTAGCCCTACTGTTTCCACAGACGATGCAAACGGGTAAAATCACACGACGATTTGTAAGGAAAAGGCACACGTGATCGACGCGTACAGTTGTGTTTTTTTAATTTTATACTTAAAATATTTATTCTAATACGTATGTAGGTTAAGAGTTGCAGTGAATGTTAAAATTTTGGACTCTCAACGAATGCCTACATTTTGTATGCCCTGTCGGTATTTACGCCGTGTAACGTGTATTTATTGCATCGGTGGGAAGTCCAAAATCTATATATTAGTGATCATTTAGCGTGGAGTAATAGTTATTCGTATATTATCCTGCAACAATATTGTATTGTTCATTCACGAGAAATCTTCTTTTGGTCGGGTTCACAAATACGGATGCCATATTGTCTTCCATTCAAACAGAACTTCATTTCAATATAAGAAACAATATCTTTTAACGGTTTTGGTTCCGCACTACATCACATTGTAATATACAAATATTATTGACTGTTAAACTACTACACAATTTTATTACTCACGAAAGTCTTTCTAACGGAATAGGCCAAAATAGTTTTAAGTGCTTGTCGGTCACAAACCCGACCAGACGTTTTGACAACCCTAATGTAAAAAAAAATGAAAAATTTTTCAACAATATCTACTGATATTATGAAGTTATTTAACAAATAAATGACAACAATACTTGTATTCATTTATACGTGAAGAATGTAATTGCCGTTACGGCCCGAGTAACGTAAGTAACGTTACAGCATGATAGGGTTGTCACAATCCACACATAGCAATATTATAACTATTGGAAGTACACTTAGCGATAAATGTTTTAGCCCCGTTTAGATATTGATAAGATGCGTCTGCGCGAAGGTTTATCTGTTTAACTGTGCCGCGTGTATTTTTTTAAATCTGCATTTCTCTTTTGTCACTTCTGCTCTTTCTTCTCACTGTTTAACTTTGGATAGCGCGTTATCGGATGAATCTTTGCGCAGACGCCGTTTTCGACTGATAGATCATTCCATTGAGAGTAGGGTCAGCGACGGCCTCGTACAAAATAGACAACACCATTTTGCTTCGTTTTTCTACACGATCGTTTTCGGAATCCTTATTGGGAGTTTTTACATGTTTTTTATTGGTGCTTTTTTGTCCGGCTAACGGAGACATTGAAATATGCATTTTTACTGAACTCTACGTAATAACATCGAACATTTTGTGACGGTTAGACGATTTTTTCAAACTACCCTCCTTTACATATCTGGTTAAAAATGCAAATGTCAAGCTGTTACCCGATCTTGGACCGTTATTCCATATTATCCTAATTTGACTGAATATGCATTTATAACGATTCCAAATCATTTCCGTGTATCAATCGGATGTTCAGTAGAGCTGATTTACATAGATTTGTCAAGTATTATCTGTAGTTTACGTGAGTCGTACACGTTTAAATAAAACACTTGAAACTGTTTAAAACGCGAAAACTATTTTTTAAGTATCACAATTGCAGAAGGACTACAGATAAAGTCCCTAATGTTAAAGCTAATTCTGCTACACTAGCGCCATCTGTGTCGTCATTCTTGACATTTGTTTCTTGAACTGCATACGATGCGAAACTTCGAATCATAGTTAAACATAAGTAGCTTAATATGCTTTGCGTTTTAAACCGTTAAGTATTTTATGTAAATATATCGATTAGTCGATTATCACAATTGACTAAAACATTTTTTTTCTATGTAAGTCAGCCGTATATAAGCACTATACTATATTACGACGGTGTTAAGTAGTGATATATATTATATTATATCGTAAAGTATCTTAATATATAAATAGTATTAAATACAAACTAACCAAATTCGTAGTTGGTTTTACTAACAATTATACAATTTTTGTATTGGTCTCAATTTATGTCAAAGATTGTATTTATTCGTAATATATTTAAAGTTAGGATTATGTTGTGTCAATACCATTGGAGCATTTAGGTTTTTTAATGATGCGAGAGTAAACCGCTTCGTTACATAACGCGATACGGCGGTAGTCTGACCGGCTTCTGATTTCCATATAAAATTATTTTCACAGATTATTAATGCATTCTATTTTCACAAACCGAAATCTATGGTTTAGCGAATTTGATAATTTCGTTTTGCAACTACCCTTCCGTATTTGTACTTTTGAGCGTAGTTCGAATTGATGCAACATAAGTCTAAATGTATCGTGTAAAATTATGTAACGCCATTTCGATGAATATTTACGCCTAATTATTGTAACTGCTTAGTTTATTTAGACGTATGCGCACATCAACAAGATTCGGCATTTTTGTCTCGACGTCGAAATAAGTTTTAAATTTAAATTGCCATACACAGTTTGTAAGTTTGCCTACGCATCGCGTTTCACTTTAGCAGTATTTTGTGTGACGTCGTTTTATTTGTATCGTTAGTAAACGCGGCGTAAAGATTGTGTTATGTTTTGTCTCTCTTACAGAAATGTATCGGAAAGAAAGAGACAAAACATTGAATAGCAATTCACGCTTAGGAACCATAGTGAGCAGGTGTTTTCCGTGCAACTTCAGACAAAGTCTTTAGACAATTTAAAACTTTTTTTAAGTACAAAGTTGTATTTCCGGAGTGTGCGAAGGGAGCTAGTGATGTTCCGCTAGTTTAGGTTACCAAGTGATGTGCGACACCTGATTTATCGATAATTTTGTAGTCACTCGTCGATAGTGTACATAGGTTTCAAATTATATTTTTTTGTGATCACATTTCGTTTTTCATTATTTCACACACCTAACGAAGTTAATGGAATCGAATAAAAGACTCTATAATCGTTGTATTAAGATGTGAATTACTGTAAACGCCTCAGCTTGCACACTGCCAGTTATTTTCTGTATTTAATATTTTTTTTACAATACAAACGTTTACTTGAGTATTAGCTTATTGTATGTGTAAATATGCTGGAGTCATTAAAGTGGTGAATAAGAGAAGTCTTTTTTATTTGTCCGTTCATGAATCAACCATCTAAAAGTTTCCGATTTAAACTTTACTTAAAGTTATTACCGCCGGTACAGGTCTAAATATTTTTTATCTATATTTTTTCTGAAACATGTTTGCATCTAGTCTGGAACTTATTATTTCAAATCTGGATATTATCTATACGTTACAATATTCGGAATCTATATAAGCATCAAATTCTCAACCAATCACAACTCGGGAAAGCGACTTGTGATTGGTTGAATGTCCGTCGAGCGCCACGCCCACATTGTCAGTGTAGCGTCAGTTTATGTGCCGTGTACGTGTTTGGTAAATTAAAACGCGTTTAGTAATATTTTGCATCTATGTCATACATGAAAGAGTGTCAAGCAATTTCTCTCTTCCCTTAAACGATGGGACAATAAAGTGCTAAAATAGAAGAACCATGCAAATATCAATTGCCTCGACCTTCATCCTCGATCTTACGATTTTGTAATCAAACAGGGACAGGATAAAAAAGTCAAAACAACCGTGAGTGTTGAACTTAAATTTTTTCGCGGGTAGCATACCTAACCAATTTTAAATCTAACGCCATGGTATGGATAGTCGATATTCATATAATGAAATGTAACAATAATTGAATTTCTCATTCCGTATTTAGTTTACACCCATAGTCCAAGAAACTCCAGGGTAAAGTAATAAATAATATTATTTTGACGAGAAACCTAAACTAAATATTTGTTTCGGCACTCCTAGCGCCATCTAGGCATGAACTAGACATCCGTCATACCGGAGTCTTCTCATAAATGCGAATTAAAAATATATATTTTTTATAACCTCGTAACAATATTATAAGGTTTATATTGCAAGTATCGTTAGCAATAAAAATAAGTTCCTAAATGTCCCAACCAGTGGCGGCTGGCGGTTTATGGTGGTGCACTTTACTTAGGTACTTACAAATAATAAAATTAAGAAATTCAGCAAAAAAAACAATTGACATAAAATATGTTTATTTAAAAAATATATAATGACTATTAAATGGTTATGGTTATTTAAAGATAATGTAAAATTGTGATTTTTTAAGTCTTTTGAATTCGTGGTTCAGCGCACGCGCGCCTTTAAAAGTACAGCCGCCTCTGGTCCCACCCCTAGTCACGTAGTACTGATATATGCCAACGTCTTACCGGCAACTGGATCCACCATGCCTGCCGCACTTGATGGGCGAAATATTGTTTAGACAATATTTGAGATAGATTTCTCTCTTTAGATAATAAATTTATTTTTTACCAAACCATTGAAACATAGTAACCTACATATAAGTAGCGGCACGGATCTTTAGCACTGAATGAATCCTGCGCAGATGTCAAAAATAAGGTATCAAAGGGACGGAAGCGGGGCGTGTGCGTGAATACGATGCTCTGCTTGCTCTTTGAGGACAGTCACGTTTTCCAATCAATTACGTGCGCGCAGCTATCCTCTCTACATTTTGTTCAGCGCTAAAAATCCGTGCCGCGACCTATATTAGTAGATGTTGCCAAGGACTAATTGACCGATTTTTAAACGTTTAGATTCGATTTTTAAATTATTTTGTAGATTTAAAGGAACCCAAGAAAAGTAGTTTTTTGGAATTCTGATACATATTTGCTGACAATATGAAAGTGAAAATTTTGACGGCTAGTGATGTCACGACCTTATTCTGGAAATCGGTGTGTGTCGATCATACGATCTACAATCTACATGCATTCGGACCAAACATTTACATTTTAACAGTAATTTAAGTAAATAACAAAGTTGCAAATTTATTTATGTATTAATGCAGAGAATAGAACTTAATTTATAATTAATTTATATTTGCGGTTTTTTGTTAATTAGTTAAATATATAATCCAGTGTCTAAAAGTGTTCGTAGTGTAAATCAATGTAAACCTTTTGAGAAAATCACGATTTCATGTAAATTGTACTTGTTTACCAAAAAATGCCAAGTAAAAAAAAAATACACTAGACAATATTCAAGGTATACTGTTTTATTCCTAGATAAATAAACTATATAGGTATTTATATTGTTATCTGAATAAAAAGTCTGTCTTCAAAAAGGCATTATTTAATAAAAGAAAATAAATATACATAGACACAATGCCAACATTTATAAACAATATAAATTAGGAAACAATCTTAATAGTATGTATTTTATATTTTATTATTTTTTACAACTACTGGAACTCGAATACGGTAGAAGTTTAATAGTTAAAAATGTGTAACACAAAAATAACAAATTGAAATCTTAATAATGTTGCCAGATAAAAATCAGGAGAAATTATCGTTTAAATTGCAAACATAAAAAAAAGTTAGGTTACGTCACTACTTTTAGAATGCCAATTGTCACTTGATATTAGTACATGAGACAATTAACAATTAACGTTTTGATCCAAAACATGAAAAAGGTGACTTGGAACAAACTTCTCTTTCTCTCATTAGAAAATAGAAACCCGTTTCTGAGCCCCTGATAGAATAACTTAATTTAGGTTTTGTCATGAAAATATTTATAACGGGTAACGAATAAAATAATATCTTAATATAATAAATATGCTTTTAACGAGTTTTCTTACAATTTCACTTAAACAAAAATAACCAAATCTATATATTCGAGAACAGTCACTGACATTAAAACATAAACATACTGCACATAATTTGCGCACACGCTCTTGTAAATAATATACATGTGCAAATGTTGTGCGGTTAAAAACGCTTGTTGCGTGGCCACAAACAATTCACGTGGCAAGCTTCGCCTTGTAAGTTATTCAAATTGTACCTAAAGTAATAAAGTTCTGAGTTTTAACCCTTGGTAACTTACGATGAATAGAACTGAGGTAGCGATTTAGAAAAATCGAAAATTGGACAATTTCGCAGGATTTCAGTGGTAACTTGTGTTTTTTAATTAAAAGGTGGGCTCTAGCGATGCTAAACTACTCTAGATATAGCCGATATATTTACGCAAGCAGATTTTTACATGAATCGCGAGAACTATATTCGATTTTATTTGAAGATAATCTTTCAAACGACTTACTCTTAGACGACTAAATCAGCATAGATACTCATAAAATACGACAATTACATATAAAAGCTTACACATTCAGTATCGTGTTGTACTTACGTAATAAATTATTTGTGTATATGAAATATAATTTATATTAAGTAACAAGTCAGTTGTGCGTCAGCTTTCGTATTATATAAAAGATCACAACATTCGTATATTCTTATCCGTGTATGGCGATGAGATGTAAGCCCTGAAACAAACGAGACATTTAGGACGGTCTTTATTTATGAAACATTTTAAAGTCCAACAAAACTAAAGACATTTTAAGCTGTTAAACTGAAATAAAATCGAACGAAAGAGGACAAAAGTGCTGTAACTATTTATTCCAGAGGCCTGAGAAGCATGGAGCTCAGTTGGTGGAAGGTGAAATAGCTCCGCCGTACAATATGTAAACAAAATGTGCTGTCGGCTGATTTTGGCTTTGGTAATCGACAGACTGCAGCCGCAACGCGATTAAACTTCGCGGCTTATCCATCTGTTGACGGTTTAACATCCAGATTTTCCATACAAAGTCCAACATGTTTCAGAAAATAAAATATTCAGTATATTATAAAGAACTCGATTATTTTTTGGTCCAATATTAAGTTTAATAATAACATACATGCAGAACTGAAAAAAACCATGCGATAGTTAATGAATTGCGCAAAAAATATTGTCTAGTGCTTGAAACATAACATGTCCACATGTTATTGCACAAAGCTTTAAATAATTAAAAATCTATTTCAGATTGAACAAGAATAAAAAAGTCATTTATTAGAGCAACAGACAATATGAATATGACAGTTGATATTTTTCAATGTTAAATAGATTTTTAATCTATGAAAAGCTGTCATTAATGTCAAACAAAAACTGCTTTACGTTGAGCGGGAAAAAATCTAACACTACATGTCAATATAACCTGATTTTTTTGTATATTTATTTTTCCTTGCAGTCTTCTTTGTTCGTCTATTCGTTTAGCACGGGAAGCATGGATCTAGAAAAACGACATCCGTATTTTTGACACATTTGACTTACTCTTTGGAACTTAACGCCATTTGCCAAATCTACCGTCACGTTAATAATAATTCGAGTTTGTTTTTTCTTTAAGTTACAGAATTTGTAAAATGGCGTTCTTTTATTTTGTTTTAAGGGCATTATTAACAACTCTACTGTTTAGCGTACAAACATATTATACAAAAAGCGGAATACCTAAATATAGAGACGGAAACGCAACGTAATGTTACGTATGATACAAATACTGGTGAATAAAAGAAAATACCCAGGGAGGACAGTATGAATCCTAAGTAATATACATATTACGTTATACTAACATTTACACTCATAATTGTTTTAAATTAAAGGAACTTTACTTCATAAATTCTTTATTTATTACATGGCAAGTCCCTGAAATTGCTATTAAATATAAAATATGTAATTGGCTATAAATAATATGAAGTTATTTTTAAATTAATTTATATATTTGAATAAAACAATTTTAACGGTTAAAACACAAAATATATTACAAAACTTAATTTTCATTCAATTTAACTGTAGCAAAGTGTCTAAAACGACCGCGTTGGATATTTCACGTTTTACACCGCTTAAACAGTTTCATTTCAATGTGTTCTACTCGCGTAGACATACTTAACGTATTCAAATTATGTCAACTTATGTATATTTTGCTTTCATTCACCCGTATGCACAAATATCTCAAAACGTGTATGTATGTGTTATGAAAATTAAAAATACCTTCCATTTCCAAAACTATGGGAATGGGACCTTCGCAGCGTTGAAATAAAAAAAATAACATAAGCACTTAGCCAAAAGAAATGGGGTTCTACAAAACTTCTATTATTATAACAATAACAATATAAAAATAGGCACATAACACATTGGCTTGTCGACTAGATACATATTTTTAGCGCAAATACTCAGCGAAAATGGTAAAAATACATAGGTCAAGATAATTATACTTAGCACAAATTTGTGCTTTACTGTAATATCGACTAGATAACCGTCCTCTATATCTCAATAGTTGAACACGGGGAAAGAGCGGGTTCGAACCCTAGTGTAACTAAAATGGTAACCTATACCTATGTAGTAAGTTTCGGCTCGACGGTCCAGGTGTTTGTGAATAAAATAGATCAGCTAAACGGACACAAAAATGTGTCTACTTGAATACAACTGAATTTTATTTACTTTCGATTGAGAAAGTTAATAATTTATTTCAATACAATATCGTTTGTTTCCGTAAGTACATCTTAAGATAAACAGCAAAATGTACATGAGTTATTCTTACCAAAGCATCGTAAATATGTCAATGTAAATATGGATTATGATCAGCGAAGAGAAATGTGACGGCTATCTAAAACTACTGTAGCGTAAGTTACCAGAAATTACAATCTTGTGGAGGTTGTCTGTTCGGGAAGCGAAAGGAGATAATATTATTGTATATCAATTTGAATCAAATGTATGTTCAAACTCGCTAGCGGGTAAAAAATATTTTCAGATAAATCAATAAAGTTTTAAAGCCACTTTTAAATTGTAACTGAGAAAACAATTAAATGTAATCAAGAGAAACCTAGATATAAACCAATGTGAGTCATATTATAAAGAGTTAAATGTAACGACCAGTAACGGTTAGTAGTGATATATATTCAGCAATTTGCCAAGTAGATTTAATGCGGTGTCTTATAAATCTGTATTTTTCTTTTACAATTTTAACAAATACTAGACGTCACCTTCGGCAGAGGCTTGCCCTATTGAGGCTAACTGCACTGTATATTAAAACACTAGCTGCGACAGCGACTTCGTCCGCGTAGAATAGTTATATTTGCGCATCACAATTTGTTTTTGCAACCCTCCTAATAAGCTGTTAGTCACGACGTCGGTCGCGTTCCGTTGTTCTTGCAATTTGATTTTTTTTGATTTGAAAAGGTTGACAAATTTTTGCGTTTTTTTTTTATAGATCATTTAAAAGGAATCATTCTTTCGTATATATTTTTTCGGTATCTTGAACCGTTTTCACGAAATTAGTTTTTCAATTCGATCAGGTAGTTCTTAAGAGTAGCCCTATAAACAAACAAACAAACTCTACAGCGTTATACATTAGTAGCGATAATAAATATTATTTTATCTGCAATCATTTTCAGAAGAAAAATGTATTTTGCCCAAGATTAAATTCCATAATAACTTTTGTGAATACGATACTCACAGCTCCATATTTTGCACAGTGGACTGTGGGCAGGTGGACGACACCTTGACATGGCAGTGTTTGTGGCACTTGAACTGGCAGTCACGACACTCGTAACCTTGCTTGCCGATGCGTCGCGCTATCGTCTTATTGCAGACCTCGCACACGGTTCCACTGTTGAGGAAACCACGGATTAAAGAACATCACAGGTAATATGTATAATGTATAGCTTTGGATATTTAGTTACCCACGCAACGGGAACCCTCAAAGATCAAAACGTAGTTTAAAGAAACTCTTCAGCTTTATATATAGTATAGATAAGTACTTACCCACTAATGTGCTTAGCGATGAAGGTGTGCTCATTGTAAATATGTAGCTTTACTCCTTTCCGCCTCCATCTAGACCGCTGAGCGACGGTCAGTGGCACCAGGTAGTGTTTCTTGATGCCAGCCTCTATCGTCTCCAAGACTAGAGTGGACGCTTCGTGGATGAACGTGCGGGCTGATGCGGTACTGAAGCCCGAAACTTCGCTGAGAGAGGACCTTTTTTGTGAATTTCAATCCGGGGGATTCCAGGATATTCGAAGGTTTGGGATTTTTATCATATCAATTTTAATATAGGTGAACAAATTTGAAGAATGACAGTATGTAAAAGTATCGTATAGATGAAATTGAAAATAAGAGAAATTTTGAAGGTTAAATATATTTTTAAAGAAGCGCCAATCAGAAATTAAAGCCAATTATTTCAAAAGCATGCGTAGTGTTGCCATAAGACAGGTTTTTAGTGCGAAGATACCAATGTTACCATGTCGAAGTGCGTTTGCCCCCAGCGTGAATGTTGAGAGATGGAAAGAGAGAGAAAATACATATTAGTGATTATTATTTTAATTCATAATATTCAATAACTATTTAACAATTAATAGTTTTTAATTAAAATAATCGGCAAGACGGTTTTAAAAAAATCTGCTATTATTTATTAAACCTTATAATAAATTACAAGGTCTTGCCATGCTTAAAAATTCAAATTCTTGATATGTAAATAACGTTAATTTTTGCCTTATAATATGTGTTAGACAGCTCAAAGGTTAGTTGCTCACCTTCTTGATGTCCTAGATTCGTCACCCGACTGCGCAGGAGACGCCCCGGCTGAATAGACATTTCTACTCGGTACTAAAGCTTTATCTGAAAAGAAAGAGTAATTACAGAAAGAAATTGAGAAATCCTTTAAATAAATCATCAAAATCCCGTACCATTACTATTTCTTTCTGCGCTAATGCTGCGCAAGTGCTGGTCTTCGCTATCCGGGTCCTGAAGATCAAGCGATTGCCCGCGAGTCCGGGATCTACCTAACCTGGAAATGTATTTTAAAATATATATTTCGTTTCTATAATTATAAGAACAGAAACTTCAATTTGAAGTTTGAAGTTGACAGATGACATTTCAGATATAAAATATGCAAATCATTGTGAATTGTTATAAGATTAAAAATTATAAAAAAATTAAAAATAATAAACCTTAAATGGCGTTTCTTGTTTACAGGTAAGTAATTATTAATTTACACTTTATCTGTAAGTTAAAATTGTCTGTGCTAAATATGAAATAAATCTTTCTTTACAGAGCAAAGCAATTCTTTATTTTAACTTCACAAATTCTGAACAAAACCGCCTTGCCTTATATAGGGGGGGGAAAAAAAAAAAAAAAAAAAAAAAAAAAAAAAAAAAAAAAAAAAAAAAAAAAAAAAAAAAAAAAAAAAAAAAAAAAAAAAAAGGGGAAAAAAAAAAGGAAGAAATTAATAAAAAAAAAAATTTTGTCCCCCGGCCCTTGGTAATTAAACCCAAGCAAAAAAATGCAGTTAGGCGGCCCCGCCCCTCGCGGCCCCATATAAACGTATGCAAATTTCCATCATAAAAAAGTAACTAGTCGTGTCGCATTGTATTGGTAGCATTAAAACAACTTATCAATACCTCCTCTTGATGGTGCCAAAGAAATCCCTTTTTCGTTTTTGCCTTGGTGCCGGTTCTGGTGGTGGTGGTTCTTGCTTATTGACGTAATCTCCTTGCTGTGAAAAAACATGAGAATTATTAGTAACACTCATTTTTATTTAATAAATTAAAAAGCTTTATTTATGGTTTTGGTCTAATGTTTATAATCTGCGAGGCTCAGATAATTCCAAAGATTCTTCGCTAATAATTTGTGATATAATAATGTAGAAAGTACTTATATTCCTAAAAATACGAAAATTCACTGTACAACAGTAGAAATCAAAATGCACACAACAATCGGAGATGCGATTAGTGGATTAGAAGGGAAACAAAACATTACCACATCCGTTCCATTCGGCTTGGTGCCGTTCTCTTTTATCCTCACGCTCTTAGCTGGCGATTGGCTCGGTGTAGCCGTCTTCGACTGAGTGCCTTTTTCACCATCTTTCTTTGAGTCGGGTATATCAATATTTTTCTGTGTGTTTTCAGCAGTTTTCTCGCTTTCCGGGCTATTTTTAAGGCTAGCTTCTCGCTCAACTTCGATGAACTTCCCAGAATCGGTCATTTCCACCTTGATATAGGGCGTTTTGTTAGTTGACAGAGCACACACGGAAAAAAGGGATATCTAGCATGCTATTTCATTCTCAGATATGTAAGCCGTAAGAACTCTTTTATTATTTACAATAATATGTCAAAATAACAAATGAATCTATCTGATTCTTACAAAATACCAAGAATCTGGTGCGTAAAATAAAAATTGTTACGGCTTTACGACAGACAAATTTAATGCAAAGTCTCACGACAAATAAAAATGCAAGTAAATAAAAAATCCCACTCACTTTGATTGATTTTGGTGGCTCCTGTTGCGTAAAACAAACATGCAAAAAATATGATCATTAAAAACACACTCGTATATTTAAGCCAAATAATCAATTATAATATTATTTTAATCATTCGTACATAATATCTGTTAAAATTGTTTAGATGGACTTCTAAACGGCAGCTTTCGTAAACATTATTTATGTCAAATCTTAAAAAATGTCAAACGTGGCAAACAAAAATATATACAATGTTTATATATAATTACCCTTTGCACAGAATGTATGATGAGGGTAGATTTGTTAGCGTTGGAAGGGCTCAGTTCAAGTTCTCGAAGTGCTGATTCTGTAAGCGCAGTATTTTCATGGCCTATAAAAAAAATTGAACGTGTTAATACTATTACCACTACTACAACTAGTAATAAATATACTGTTGGAAATCAGAAAAGCTCAACTACCCGCCACACTGAAGGCTATATAAACAAGCCTCAAGCAACGGCTCACACACTTTGTCGCCGCTCGTTGTACGGAACGGAAGTGCTGCCGGTCGATAGGATTTTGTTGAATTTTAATTTATTTTATTTATTATTTTTTTTTATTTTAGTAAATCCGCTTCTGATTCCTAAAATCAGCAGTGGGATAAAGATTTTCACGCCCTCGGATAATTACAATTTTTGGTTTTTATATCGAAATAGTTTTGACCGTTATGGATAGATCAAGTCTTCCCGATCGAAAGGGAAACGTATATGCGTAGAACGTCACGAAGTAGGCGATAGCAGCACGTCCCGTCTTTATCATTGGAAAGACTATCGATCTATATAGGTCTAGGGGTATATTGTTACAATGACGCTGGAAGACAAAGGACGGCCGAACGGTTGATGCAAATGAAGTTGAACACAGGCTGCGTCCAAATATGGTGCCCAGAAGTGGCATCTTTCTTTAAATGTGTGTAATTTTACTTAATGTTGAGTGTGAATGTGAGCATCGGCATTGACTTGTGGTGTGGTGGTCGTGAGGTGGCTGTATATGAAGTTTGGGGGAACCCTGGAGATGCGACCTGTCCCCATGGATGTTTAGCTGTGTGCACATCCTGGAGTTTTCTATGGATTTTAGTGTGTGCACATCCTGGAGTTTTCTATGGATGTTTAGCTGTGTGCACATCCTGGAGTTTTCTATGGATGTTTAGCTGTGTGACATCCTGGAGTTTTTTATGGATGTTTAGTGTGTGCACATCCTGGAGTTTTTTATGGATGTTAGGTATTCTCCTTTGGTGATGAGCCTGCGGGAGGTTGGGGTTACGCGACTCGTCTCTACGAGCCTTAGTAGATGTTGTGAGAGGTCAGGCCGGTGGTGACGTGGTGACTACGTCTCGGACCGACGTACTGGGTGCTGCACGCTTGTGTGAGGAGGATGTGAATGGCTACTCTTCAACACCCGGCGATCCTGGTAGCGGCAGCAGGCGCTCGGAGACGGGGCGCTTGTCTGCGTACACCGTGTCTGTGCTTCTTGTTCGTTTCAATGGCTGCGTCAGGAGAGGCGGCAGCAGGCGCTCGGAGACGCGGGCGGCGTCGTCTCGCGTACACGTGTCCTGTGCTTCTTGTTCGTGTTAATGGCTGCGTCAGGAGAGGGCGGCAGCAGGCGCTCGGGGACACGGGCGGCTTCGTCTCGCGCACACCGTGTCCTGTGCTTCTTGTTCGTGTTCAATGGCTGCGTCGGTAGAGGCGGCACGCGGCAGCAGGCAGCCGGAACGACCCTGGAACGACGGGGAGTTCAACCGGCGCCCCCCACCAGTGGCAGCGCGCAGCCCACGCGCGGGCTACACGGCGCGCATGCGGCTTCCTTCGACGGTCGGGGAAGATGACGGCCGAAATCGCAACTTCCGGCATTTGGAGCGCGAAAGCGGTAGCCGCCGCCTGGGTGTCTTCGCTGGCGGCGTTGTTGTCACATGGCAGAGTCGCAGCAGGGCGCGAGCGGCGAGGGCCGCCGACATACCCGCGCATCGTGGATGTGCGCTTGTGGCGTCCTCCTCGTCAATGTTGTGGTGCGAAGAAACGGTGCTTCAGGTTGCGCGGTCACGCGCTCAGCCGAAGTACGGGGGCCTGCAGGCGCTGCCCTAGGTCGTCGAGCTCGTCCCGGGCCCCTGGTCGGCCCGCAGGCGACCGGCTCGGGCTCGAGGCGATCGGTTCGAGGACGACTGCGGTAGCCGTCCCCAGCTGCGCACAGACTCACGCGAGGGGGGTCGCGACAGAGGAGGTGCCCGAGGACGACACGGTCAGGAGAGGCCGTGTTGGAAATCAGAAAAAGCTCAACTACCCGCCAACTGAAGGCTATATAAACAAGCCTCAAGCAACGGCTCGCACACTTTGTCGCCGCTCGTTGTACGGAACGGAAGTGCTGCCGGTCGATAGGATTTTGTTGAATTTTAATTTATTTTATTTAGTTGTTGTGTATTTTGTTTTTATTTTAGTAAATCCGTTTGATTCCTAAAAATACAATATTAATAATTATATTAAAATTGCGGGTACCATTTTGTTTGAAGGTAGTTTTCGTTGTGGTGGTCATTTGTCCATGCGGTGAAACGGTGCGAAGGCTTTCTTTGATTTTAAGTGGCTTGGCACCGAGATCTGGGATGTCGGGTCCATCTATGAATAAGAACTGGAAAGAAATTGTAATATATTAATAATAGACTTGCACTGAGCTAATATGTATATATGCTAACAGTATTTGATGACCACTAAAATGGTTCTATAATCTTATATAACCATTTAACGTCATAATGTCTGCTACCATACTCCTTCGAAACGGCTTTACCGATATTTACCAAAATGTATTTTTACGTCTAAGTGATATTAATTTTTGATATTTTTTTTACTTTATTTTATTATAACGTGGCATTATAAATACAAATTAATGTTTATGTGTTCCTGTTTACCAGACAACACACAAGATACTCCCTAGTAATAATTTATTCGGATCGGCTAGTAAAAATATATAATCACTACTAAATTGGTACAATACAAACAAAAGATTTCGATATTGTTTTTGTTCTGCTTATAATGCCTAAAACTTACTTCTACTGTTAGACTGCCACTGACGTCATGTTCCTCCATTGGTCTCGTCTGTAAAGCAATCTGTTGCCTCTGAGACGGAGCAGCGAGCAATTCGTCTATACCCACCAGACCTAAACCAAGGAACCTGTAAATCACAATAGTATGAACCTTCAGCTAATAAAAACCTGGCCTGCTAATCTGAAGCCTTCAAGCTTTGATCAAAGTCTAGTAATGATGTCTAAATTATAATTAAAAAACTCACCTATGCTGTGAAGAACCTCCACCGGGCGATGGTGGTCCCGTCCTATCGTAGACTTCAAACAACAATTCGGCTGTTTGAGCTGATAAGTCGCTAAAAAAAACAATTTTGAAGTCATTTAAAGTTATAATTATCGCCACTGGCAAAAGGAAAATTTTCATAGAGTTTAAGACAATTACTTGAGAATTTTATTAACTTAGAACTTTAGTGCATTCACTTTTTGGAAGGTGGATTAGCCTTTCATATAACAAGATACGGTGTCAGATCTAGTGTATGATTAAACAAAAACTTACAATAGGAAATGTTCTTCCCATTGTGGGCTTGCGGAGTCCTTTTTGAAAGCGGTTTGATTGCGTTGAGGTGGCTCGTCCATCTCGACTACACAATATGGAGCTATACATCCCGTTTTACCTGAAATTATTATTTTAACATAAATTTTAAACTATTTATCGAAGCTTTCTTTAATCTACTTATAACGAATGGATTAAAACGATTCATTCAACTTACCTCCCAAATCTTTTGCGCCCACGACTTTGACCAATAACCGTTTCTCGCCCAGCAATTGCAAACTACCCGCAGTTGAGTTCGGGGTGGATGTGTACATATGACGATCTTGTTGGAGCTATGGAACAACAATAATTGTTAATACAGATGTATTGATAACATTTACAGCCAGAATGGGAGGTAAAATGCAGATACAGTAAATCTTATTCGGTTCAATTAATTTATTCTTTATTGCACAAAAAAATAATATGATAAATAATACTCGAATGGAATACAATGGGCAATCTAAAACTAAGAAAAAAAAATAGAGAACATGAGATGAGCAAGGTAGCGAAGGCGAAATTAGTACAAACAATAAAAATCTAATAAATAAAAAATAAAAACAAAACTTAAAAAAGAAAAAAAAAAATATAACTACGGCTAGGGGTTTCGGATGTTTGCAGCAGCCGTGGTCATGGGGAGACTTAGATTAAAATAATTTATAAATTAAGTTTAACTAATATGTATAACGTTTTAAACCGTTAGGTTTTTTTTATTAAAATATGGCACTAATCGCCTGACCTAAAGACCAAGAACAACTACCTAAGGTTGCAAAGCACAGTTTTCCGTCCCATCCCTAATTTTAGCCTAAATCTTACTTTTATAGCCTAAATACTCACCATTGAGTCGTAGTGCAGAGGCAACCGAGGCGTGGACTCGGGGATGTACCGCCTCAGTCTTGGGCAAGTGGGGTATGGGGACAAATTGAACTTCAAATGAGTACTGCGGAGTGCGCTGACTATGATGTCGCTAGAATAGAAAAACATTAAGCTCAAATAACTGAATAATAAACACTATAAAAAATATGAACCACTAATCAAAGTGAGTGTTTTCATTCACACCAGGGCCAACATGTTTTTAATTGGAAATCTGGATACTAAATGGGTGGTAGGAATATCGAATTCCGTCCAGGGCACGAAGCACCGTCCACAGATTAAGCAGGTGAAGTTTAAGCAGGTTTTGCTTTCAGTCTGTGGATTTTCGAAAAGACAAAAATTCATCAACAGCGCATCTTGTTTAGATGTTAAATGTTTAGTTCCTTATCATCATCATCTACCCTCAAGTGAACCCCAAGTTTGTCTGTCTTCCTATATCATAAAAAACGCTGTTGTGTATGGAATACCACTTTTTGTGTACAATTGACAATAGTGACATCAAAAGCATGAGAGCTGCAGGTGACAGAGGGCGTGTTTTATCGGTCCAAACCAGTGAGTGAGTTTAGAAAGATAGCACAAAAAACAGCATTTTACAGATAACTATACATATATCCTATGTGTAGAGCGAAAAATAATATGGCCTTCTAGGATGATTAGCTCATAACAATGCGTAAGAATATATAAAATATAAACCAACTGTGCCAGGGACTACGTCCGTGTATTTTGGGCATCGATTTTTGTTTTTGCAAATCTCCATATCTTTATCAGTAATACCTGTTACCCAGGACGTTTTGAGATTAGCGCGTTCAAAAAAACAAATTTTTCTTAATAGTAGCTTGTATAATCGCATATATACCTAACTAGTTGTTGTAAGTCCGTCTCCGCGGCGTTGGGTCTTAAAGGACCGACAGGAGCGAGAGCCACCTTCACTTCTGGCCATCCATCACATTTCAGTTCTCCTATCAGCTTCTCAGTGATGCAGGTGACGTTGAGACGCGCGCGGAACCTGGAAAAATAAGTTGTTATTTTCTTACTTTAGAACCTATGAAAAGTGGTTATAATTATCACGTTTCTACCATTCCGACATCCTGACTTCGATTCTCAACTGCGTTTATGTAAATTGATCTACAAACTCGAATCAAAGTCATCATAGATTCAATAACAAAAATGAAACGTTAATACACAAGTGTGGGCCCCCCCCCCCCCCAAAAAAAACCCCCAAAAAAAAAAAGGCCAAAACCCCCCCCGGCCGCGGGGGGGGGGGGAAGACGGGGGGGGGGGGGGAAAAAAAAAAAAAAAAAAAAAAAAAAAAAAAAAAAAAAAAGGGGAAAAAAAAAAAAAAAAATAAAAAAAAAAAAACGCCCCGGGGGAAGGGGGGGGGGGGGGGGGGGGGAAAGGGGGGGGGGGGGGCGGCGCAAACCGGGGGGGCCCCCCCCCCCCCCCCCCCCCCAAAACCCCAAAACCCAAAAAAAAAAAAAACCCCCCCACCCCCCTTAAAAAAGCCAGAATTAAAAAAACTTCAAAATTAAAAAAAACGTCATGGCCTCCTAGATATGTATTATCTTATATAGCCTTTTAAGACGATCTTGTCCCAGCTGTGGGAACCAATAAGGAGATATTACCTGTTGACATTGACTCTGTAGTGGGACACCTCGACTTTCTCTCCTCGTTGACTAAACGCCTTGAGCTGGAAGGCAGGCGTCGCTTCGCAGTCACAGGTGATCATCTGGACAATATAAAGTTAAGTGGCTTAATAATAAATAAATATATAGGCATACCTGTCAAACACTGCGTTGCCCAGCAGAGGTTCTAGGTTTGAAAACCGGGGAAAGATGATAAAAAAGAAGACGAGGTTGCCTGGAGGAAATTGCTCATGGCAATAAGGCGGCCTATTGCTTCCTAATTTATCTTTATTTTAAGTATTGTGTTATAAGATACGCCACCTTTATTTTGTTCATTTAGGCTAGTTTAATACTTATATTTCATCGTAAGTAATAATAATAAAAATACGTCTTTTATGTGTAAATTAAAACGTTCGCATTAAATGTTCGTTTAGACGCCTAGATAGAGCACAACCGTTTTTAGAAAAAAAGTTATACGTTATTAAAGAAAAAATTATCGAAATCAGTTCAGCAGTTTGGAACCTAATAAAAACACAGACACCTCCGCACGTGCATTTATACTTTAGCAAAATTTGGTGTAAATAATTATTTAGCTTTATACGCTATATAAAATGGAATGAACTGAATTGAATTGAGTTCAAACAAGTGGCTCTATCCGGTAATCTATACAAATTGGATTGGACAACGCATTACGTTTTATTCAATAACGTAAGCTTTGTTGATTGACATCTTACGTAATCAACTGTATAAAAACCGATTTTATATTGAGAAAAAAATAACACGGGTAAGGCAAGGCTAACTTTTTTTTATTTAAAATCATGTTAAATTATACATATTAAAGTTTTCAAATGTATATCTATCTGGATTTAAGCCTCCATCGAAAGTGTGTCGCTGTGTACCTAATATATATTTAAAAAAAAAAAAAAAAAAAAAAAAAAAAAAAAAATAAAAAAAAAATTTTTGGGAATTTTTTTTTTCCCCCCCCCCCCGGGGGGGGGGGGGGGGGGGGGGCGGGGGGGGGGGAAAAAAAAAAATTTTCCCCTTTTCCACCCCCTTATTTTTTTTTTTTTTAATTTTTTTCCCCCCCGAAAACAAAAGACATTATTTACCTAATATATATTTCAATTAATAAGTTACTATTCGAAAAAAAACCCTGGGAGGGGGTTTTTCTCACTATTAGTTAAAGACAGAAACCATAAGATTTCGCAGCATTAAGACGATCGTCTTTTATTTAAAAAAAACAAGTTGTATATAGGTTAAATATATATTAGATAAAAACTTAGTATCTAATACGTACACAACTTGAAGCAGTTGTTACTGCATACAAAACTACAACTAGCAACAAAACGCGATCATCATTAAAAAATCGACATTCTTCAAAATCATCTTTAACAATCGTAACGAAACTATTTAAGATTACACCTCCGACTATTGTTCTATAATTTACTTACAACGTCATCCTTGGAGTCACACTCGCAGAACACATTGGATATCGAGGGGGGGTGGCTGTCCAACGCTCGCACCAGTTCTACACCAATACCTTGCTGGAACAAGAGACGGATTGTGATTATTTTAGAGACAAAAGTGGTTTATGAATGATAAAGGAAGACTGGAATTGTGGGATGGTAGAGAAATCTTGGCCTTCGTCCTTCGGATATCCACAGCCTTAAATGAAACCCGATTAAGCATCAGCTTTTTACATCTGACGGTGGTTTACTGGACGGCATTTCTATATCTCCCCATTTGATATACAGACTCAGAATAGATAAGGAAAATTATAAATATTAGTTATCTTTGATAATTTAACAACACTTTATAAAAGACAAACAAGGGATTATGGCAAGTACAGTCAAACTTATTTGCCTACTTAGAACTTATATGTCTAGAAAACTGACCCAGAGAAAATCCAACCCACAACCAGTTGATACCATGGTACCACTACCTAACAATCTAAAAGACTTATTTAATTTAAGAGTATTCTGATTTAGAGAAAAAACTTCAACAGTTTAAAACACGATATATTAGTTAACTATTGAAAATATTTTATTTCCGTAAGTTAAAAATCATTTTCAAATAAGTTTAACTAATATATCACGTTTTCAACCGTTACAGTTTTTTATTTAAATGTGTACTACTCGCGTAAACAATAGACAGTATTTAGTATTCTGATTATTATGTGTACATCTTTTATTTGAAAATACATAAAACTATAGGATATTTCAGTATGCTTTCAGGCATTATAGATGATAGCGTGACTCATCTTTGTCAAGTCTGGCAAAGGAGACAACGCTTGACTATAAGGTCAAGACTGATTTAATTGTCCTAAGAACTTCATGTTAAAACGAGTTGCCAAGTGACGCTAAGTGCTTAGTAAGCTTAAAAATACTATAATATTTTTCATATCTACTTCTATAATGCAATAGATGGAAAAAGAAGCGATGATCATGGCATTTTTAGATAGAAGACAGACAAGTACGGGGTTTGCTTGATGAAGGGTGGATGAATACTCTATCCATGTAATATGTAATGACCTATTTTAGGTTTGGCATTCATAAATCTACAGATTCAAACCGAAACGCGAATAAACTTTTTCATTTTCCAGGCGAAGTCCAACACACATATTTGGGTATCCTTGTTCCCTATTAGTAATTACAATTTAATGTATCTCTATTGGGTAGGTATAGCAAGAAAATGTTGAAATAAAAAATATTGAATAATAGTATTGCCATCTAGTTTATGCGAGTAGTACGCATTTAAATAAAATACTTAACAGTTTAAAACACGACATAGACGATTAATTTACAATTTATGTTAACTACTTAAATCATTTAGTTTCACTAACATCGCGTTTTAAACCGTTAAAAATGTTTTATTTGAGTATTAAAAATATATAAAATGGCCATTTCTTCAAACTTAGCGTTAACTGGCAAAATAGACAACATCTAGTGGCATCGAGATCAAGCGAGGGAGTGAAGCTAGATAAAGCAATCTGGCACCACGCCAGACTGCACAAAATTAATAAATTGACACGTCCAACATATTAAGAATTATAATTTATTTTCGTTTATTGTTCATGAATGGGTTCATTGATTATTATAGTGTTACAGTAAATAAACAATTAGTAGTGTTAATTGGGACTATTAAGTATTTATTTGGGTCGAATCAGATTATTTATTTATTTATTTATTTACATTTATTTACATATATGCACTGTCTAGTGTTGCCCAAACGCAAGAACAAGACGAGACTTAGCCAGTCTTGGTCTTGGTCTTGCGCCAATACACCTGGTCTTGGTCTTGGTCTTGGTCTTGCGCTCCCAGTCTTGGTCTTGGTCTTGGTCTTGCAGCAAGAGTCTTGCAAGTCTTGCAAGTCTTGCAATTACCTATTAGTCTGTTACTATTTATTAAAGTTTACTTTAAATCCTAGAAAAACGTATTAGAATTGGAACATTGTGAGCTTGAATGAATATAGCCATAGTAAAGATCAAGCAGATTAATAAATAACTGAAGATTTGATAAGAAATTCGAAAAATCAACTGACCTATATGTCGTTTTCCATGGAAGTAACTTCTTAATAAACATTTATGATTCATAAGCTTACATTTGCTAAAACTCAAACTCTCGTTACTCGGACTAGAATAATTTGAATCTTCGTCACTCATATTAAATTGTACACGTGATACGTTTTTAGAAAACAACGAGAATTAGTAAAAACAATTATTAAGTTAGACTCGAAGCACAGCTCAATTGGAAATGACTGGAATTAAAATAATTCCTTTGTTTATAGTACGTTTCCTTGCTTTCTACCGCGCCGCCTCGCCACGTGCCGGCTCTATGATAAGGATGCCGCCGCAAATCAAACAATAATATAAAGCGTGTAAAAAAATTCGAAATTATTTTGCATGAGTATACCTACGCCCTATGGCGGCAATCAAATAGTGTCAAATGTTATGATTTCGGCGTGGCGGCAACGATTGTTTTAGATTTCAAAAGAAGCCGCCGGCGCGTGTATCATAACCATGTACTTCCGAAAAGCGGCAAATTTCTTTGAGAAGTAAGGACAAAACCTTTGATGCCGCATTATCAAAGTGCCGATGGGTAAAACATAACTATGCATGCACTCAGTTTGATTTTAATATTTTTTTTATTCGCTATGTTTATGGTATTAGTCGTAATGCGCATAGGTCCAGTTTTTTATATTCTTTGATACAGTTTTTTGCGTCTCATAGAATTCCTAAGCGTACCTACCTATACACCGAACTGTTACACCTAACTACTCAGTGAAATAGCGCTAAGTCCTAGCTGCAAGACGCAAGAGTCTTGCAGGCTATGTCTTGTTCTTGCTCAAGTCTTGCACGGTCAGTCTTGGTCTTGGTCTTGCTAAAAATACGCGGTCTTGTTCTTGGTCTTGGTCTTGCAAAAACGCAAGAACAAGACCAAGACTGCAAGACCAAGACTGAATTTGGGCAACACTAGCACTGTCATAACAGGTTGGATCCCAATGCGACAGAGATCTAAAAACTAAACAATATAATTATATATGATAGAACAAATATATATGAACTTAAACCAAACTATCGTTCATAACTCAAAATAAACTTTAATGTATTTGTGAGTTCACCCCAAGGACTGTAAAAAATATCTGCTTTTTTGTGCAAAACATTTAGGACCTCGACCGTCCTCGTCCATTGTGCCTTTGCCATTAAGTTCGTTCTAGCAAAAGGCACCACGAGAAGAGGTGGCGCGTGTCTTTTGTCCCTATAGCAGTCAGGCACGTTTATGCTTAACATGCTTAGGACGCCGATGTTGCATACTTTCCCTCTTAATAATTTAATGATATAAGTAGCTAGAGCAAAATCCCTTCTTACTCTCAACTTACTATAGTCCACCATTCCCAGCACAAAGAGTGTCGGGTACATAAGAGGATAATATGGATAAATTCCGTACATTTTAAAATACAAATGTCTTACAAATTTATTTTGGATTTTTTCCAACATGGCACAGTATTTTTCTTCGTGAGGTTCCAAATGGCTTCTAACTAGTGCATCATACAGCACTCTCACGGTTGGCATGCTAGTGAAGTCCCTCGCCTGTCTCAGCACAAATCCCAGACTCCGGTAGGCTGCTTTGCATACTCTAACAATATGATCCCTAAATCTAAGATCTGCACTAAAAGAGAACGCCAAGATCCCTCACTTCCTAAACTCGTTCCAAAAAGACCTCTCCCACCTTATAATTATATGTCTGGGCCGTCCTTGATCGAGTAAATTGCAGGACAGCGCACTTCTTGGTATTGAAGCTCAGCTTATTCTGGATACTCCAGTTCAACACATTTGTGACATCATTTTGCAGTATTTCACAATCTGACTTGCTTTGACACTTCAGAAATATTTTCAGGTCATCTGCAAACATTAGACATTGACTGTGCTGAATGACTTGAGGGAGATCGTTGACCATTATGCTAAACCCCAAGGGTCCAAGGTTGCTGCCCTGGCTTATTCCCGATTATTATGGAAACGTTAATTAAATAAATATAATTAATTGTTTTATTTGTACTACCCACAAACCACACAATAATGAGCGTAGAAATATATCCATAAAGTAAAAAGCAAAAATAAGTGTACTTAGTACGTAGCGTTACTTTATTAAATAAATTAATTTAAAAAATACGACACAGGCGGGACGTGAACCGGCACGGCACTATCAACGATCCCTTCTGCTGAGATTGACTACTCATGGTGAGTAGGTGTGGTGTGTATTTTTTCAATTACATAGATGTTTAATTCATATGATGCTATCTAGTCCCCGCGCATCGTCATTTTTTTAAAATCTAATTTTAATTATGTTCATATCAATATAGATCCAGCCGTTTAATTGTAAACTGGAAACGTAAAAACAATCTCCTTGTCTGTAATGTTTTGAAACTATTGTGTAATTAATCAAGCAGATAAATATTCATGTGATTGCATGTTTATTTACCACAGATAATACATTGCACAATCGATCTGACACAGCCTCATGGTAACTGAGCGCGGTCTATCCACACTACAGACTATAAACAACAGAGTACAACTAAAATAACCTCAATGTTACAAATACCGTACGAAAATACTATCTCGCTTGCATAGATTATATTTATCCCTTATTTTGAATGCGAAATAGTTCTCGTGTTGCAATGCGGCAAAATTATCGCGATGTTAAGGTATACATTTTGTAAGTAGTTATGTTTTTTGTCAAAATTGTTCAACAAATGTGGTTCGCGAAATGTAGGTTGTTCAACTTATTAATCAATTATTTTAACTACGGCCCGACGATTCGAATCATTTGCAGCAGCCCTGGTCACACCATGGCTGCTATAATGCATCCGAAACGTCGGGCCGAAGTTAAAAATCGTTTTCAAATAAGTTTAACTAATATATTGCGTTTTAAACAGTTAAAGTGTTTTATTTAAATGTATGTATTATGTTATAGCAATGTATGACATTTTTACATGTATGAGTGCCATGCCATTTTTTTTGCTTTTACATGTATGAGTGTAACTGTAG